TTCTTCAGTGTGATTCCCTGTAGTTTCGAGACTAGAAAACTAAATGCTGTATTTCTCAAACTCCTTTGCAGCTAGGTTTCCGCGATTATCTTAGTTTCTGCCTATTAGATGCATGGGAGCTACTACCTTTGGAAAGCAGACATTCCTGCTTCTTGGTTTACTTCTGCTGCTAAGTTAAGTCCTGGAGATATTTACTTCTCAGTCCCAGGTCACTAGCTCTGTGGTTTTATAAAGACTGTTGCATTGTAAATAGAAGCAGCCTTCTGGTTCATCTTTCTGACTGTAGGAAAGCTCATAGCTTCTCTTGCAAATCAGTTTCACTGTGATATTTTAAGAATTATTACAGAAGGATCCTCCTCCAGTCCTTCAGATGATAATTGTAAGCATCTAATTCTCTGTGCCAAAACCCTTTCAATTTAAAGTTGCTTGGATGGTTTCTATTACTACAACTGAACTCTCTGTCTCATACTCATTTTATCTTTCCCCTCTGTAATATTTCCTCTAGAGAGTGATCTAAGTAAAAGATTCTATCAAAGTATACCCTTTGCCCCAAGATGAAGTCCAAACATATTAGTGGGCAATTTAATATCAACCCCCAAACATGGCATTGTCTTATACTTCCATTTTTTATTCTATCTGCCATGCTCAGTAGGCAGGCTACATTATACAAAATTCTTTCAGCTTATTTTGCATCTTTACTTCTCCTTTCCTTTCCTCAAATGTCTCCCATGCCTGATGTAGTATTTCTACTACTTCGTGGACATCAGAAAATATTACTCATCCCTAAAGCCTTGCTCCCTTTCTACATTATTTTTTATAAGTTTTATAATAAAAATGTGAAAACAAGGGTAAAAGTTGGTGATGAAATAGAGGTTACTGTCTTATTTAGAGCTTTGTATCCTTTTCTTCATTTATCATTATAACATGGGCATTGCTCAATTATATGAACGTTTCTTTAAAAACTTGACTTTAATGATTACATTATATGTTAGTGAATAAATGAACCCTAGTTCACACAACCATTCACCTCTGTCCTTCACTGAGGAACACTATGACATTAGATTTTAACCTCAACTGTTTCACTAAGCAATGATCTCCTAATTGCCAAATCCAATAGGCTCATTTCTTTCCCCATATTATTTGAACTTTTTTTGCAACACTTGACAATGTTATATACTCCCCTTTTCTAAAAATGGTTACCTTGCCTTTCATAATATCATGTTATTATCATTTTTGTTCAATTTCTTTAATCATTTTCCTCAGCAAAATTTGCTTTGCCCATCCTCTCCACCCACAAAGATTCTGTCTGTTTCACTTTATTCTTGAATATTTTCATCTAAACTATGACTTCAAATAACACCTGTACCCAAAAATTGTTTTCTTCCCTTGAGTATTTGTTTTTAAATCTTCATTAGTAAAATAGCTTTTCCCATGGGTTTAACTTTTGAAGACTCAAACTGTCTTAGTTACACTTTGTGACGGATAAATAAGGTCCAATATAATGGTTACAAGTAATAGTATCAGCTTCAAAAGCCAGGTAAATAAGAACGTCAAGCTTTAAAGTGCACGGAGGAGACACTTTACCTACATATATGTACAAATAACCTTATTTTCAATAGGTAGAGAAAAATATGGTTGCATTTGCATACCATCTCACCGATGTATCCAGATGTAGTTTGAGATTTTCTTTTGAAACCTCCTCTACAATAAGTCATTTGATTTACAAAATGAAGTTTGTTATAACCATATTTCCACTGAAACACTGAAAAGAACTGAAATCAATTTGGTTTTTCTTCTTTGGGTCAGCGTGAAGTGAAAAAGCATGCTACTTATTTCCCTCCAGGTAGCGTTTATGTTGGATATTAATCATGTAAACACATCTTCTTTCTCAGTGGTAAAAGGTTCCGTGTTTCACAACGTTGGCTTATTCTGCACAATGTACCCAGGCAGAATATTAAAAGCAAAACAATTTCATAACACTGAATGCTTTATGTTTCAGGTAAAATCCTGGGACAATCAGTGCTGTTACCAAAACGAGGTGTTTATAATAAAATTACTCTATGATCTGGTATTACTCATGATCGTATTTTCTTGGGCTGGTTAGGGAATGCTTTTTGGTCCCAGCTGTTGCAAGAGTCAAACTGTAGAACAAAAGTACCTGGTGGTGTACTGTTTAGACCAAGCATATCAAATTTAAAGGCTAACACAGGCCAAATAAACAAAGTTTAAGTTTATGTGGACCACAAAAAAAGCTCCAATTTTCATAGAAATAGGTTTATTTCAATGGAGACGTGTTGAATACAAAGGGCTAAAATAAAAATGAATAATCGTTAGTATAAAATAATAGAACATTTTAATAAAAATTAATATTTTTTCTTGAACATTAACTTACCAGATACTGAATAACTGCACAAATTAATAAGTGTAACCCAAATAAACCTATTTTTCTTTTCTCCAAAAGCGAAATATTTCCTGTTGCACACACCAAACAAGTCAGTTCAAGACTAATGACGTGGCCATCAGCTGCTAAAATATTTGCACCTTGTATTAGTGGAGAGAAATGGTGCGCCTGCGCATAAGGCACGTAAGGAAAATGATTGCAACACGATTACAGTAATCAGTCATTAGCGAATGTTGTAGGGCGATATTAATAATTATGTATAACAGGATATTGTAAAAATTAAGTTATGATTTTTTTCTTTTTCTTTTTTAAAAAATATATTTTTATTGATTTCAGAGTATAAGGGAGAGGGAAAGAGAGTTAGAAACATCAATGATGAGAAAGAACCATCAATCGGCTGCCCCCTGCACAGCCCCCACTGGGGGTCAGGCCCACCACCCGGGCATGTGCCCTTGACTGGAATCGAACTTGGGACCCCCCAGTCCAGAGTCCGATGCTCTATCCACTGAGCCAAGCCAGCCAAGTCAAGTTATGAATTTTTTATTAAAACATTTCTTACATACCATTATATTGGCTGGGCCGCAAAAATATTTGTTGTGGGCTGCATGTGGCCTGCAGGCCATGGGTTTGACATGCTTGGTTTAGACTATAGGTAGGGCAGGAGAAATGAAATCTTCATATCTTATTACATAGAGCACTTTCTTTTTTTTGAAAAATATATATTTTATTGATTTTTTTACAGAGAGGAAGGGAGAGGGATAGAGAGCTAGAAACATCGATGAGAGAGAAACATCGATCAGCTGCTTCCTGCATACCCCCTACTGGGGATGTGCCCGCAACCAAGGTACATGCCCTTGACTGGAATCGAACCTGGGACCCTTCAGTCCGCAGGCCGACGCTCTCTCCACTGAGCCAAACCGGTTAGGGCTAGAGCACTTTCAATGTTTACAAACTGGCTTACCACCTCTTCCTCATTTTAATTTGAGAAACATGTTAAAGAAATAATTCTTGTCCACATAGAGCAGATTGAGAAACAGGTTTAAATGACTGAACTGGCTTACTAATTTTCTTCTACTAGTGTTTATTTTGACTTGTCATTAAATAACAATCACTTTTTCCTTTGATTCATTCCACCTCATCTTACCCACCTCACATGCATTTTCTTTTAGATGAAAAAGATAAGAAAATAGTAAACACAGCAGCACATTCTCCTGCCCCTCCCCCGGCTTTACACCCTTTTATTTGCTGGTTTCATTTGTTTCTACTCTATGACACATAATGTCCTACATTTGATTTCTAACACCACGATCAATCACGAATTCTATTCAGTGAACCAATTTGGAAGTTCAGTGGGAAATGTAACTGCAGTCTCATGGAAAAATACCTGTCTCTCAGGGATAGTGAACAGAGCTCCTGGACTACCCAGGTGCCCTGGCCAAAACCTTGGGAATCTTTCCAGGCATTTTTCCATTTCCCTCACTGTCCACATCCTTAAAGATACTTAATGAGGTTGATTTTATACCCTGAAAAGCTCTGAAATTTGTTCTTCCTTCTTGATCTCCACTAATTCTTAGTTTAGATCTTTACCACTTTACTAAGATTAGTTAATTTATATCCTATTTCAAGTTTTGTCAATTTCAATTTTTTGAAAATATGTTTTTATTGATTTGAGAGAGGGGAAGGTAGAAGGATAGAAAGATAGAAAGATCGATGACAGATAGAAACATTCATTGGCTGCTGACCAGGAATTAAACAGGGGATCTCTTGGTTCTTGGGTCAATACTCAACTACTGAGCCACATTGGCTGGGCTCAATTTAATTTATTGCTTATGGAGAATGAGTTCCAGTGACAGGGGCAGTAGATAATAATTGAGATTCCACAGGATCCTTGCATTTTTACTTTTCAATGCGTTTCTGATGCATTTGAATACTTCATGTGGACAATCTTAATTAGATACAGGTAGTTCTGTTAGACTCTTTATACATCTACCAGAGGCTCAATGCACAAAATTCATGCACTGGTAAGGGTCCCTAGCAGCTGCTGGCTGCCGGCTGCCAGCTGGGGCCTCCCTCCCTTCCCCCTGGTCAAACTCCCAGAAGAACTCCAGTCGAGGGGACAATTTGCATACTATGCTTTTATTATATAAGATTATTATTATTTTTTTTACTTAGAAGATATGCTGTTATCCATCAGTACCAGTAGAAACCAACAGAAAGTATAAATGAAGGCTAATAGAGAAGTCAACCAAGCTCACATTTACCAGGGAAAAGTGTCTGCAATGGCGAATCCCAAATTTGCATACATGGAGAATTTCTTACAAAATACCAATACTCTCACAAAATGTATGTTTTCCCCCATTGGAAAAGGTCATTCCAGATATGGAGACTTCATCTAATGAAGATGCTTACTGACTGTCAAAATTATTTCACTGAATATGTTTCAGATGGACTTTTAGCTTTAGCCCAATTGTAGTAATTGATATTCCCTAAGATATACCGTCTGCAATGAGATTCCAAGAATATCTGGAGTCCAATGCTCCTTTAATATGTAACTCCCATAAGCTACTAGAAATTTTATAATTAACAAAACAATACTTACACCAAAATTGGTAGCGGCAAATCGATCTGAGGCAGAAACCTGCACATTTGTTGAAACTGTCGTGTGAGCATAGAAAGCATTTATATTCGCCAGCAAAGTGCTCATGATGGCAGGGACGCCAGGGCACATGTATTTAGAAGACAGACATGAGAAGTGCCTGCAAGACAAGAACATCGAGCCCTTTAAACAAGAATTACATAATTCAAACAACAGCATAACTTCTAACACCAGTAATTAAATAATTCCTCAACTGCATCTGAAAAGGACCAAAAACTCCCATATCTCTAATTGAAATAGAAAGCAATTTTGGCCCTTTAAAAATTTCTCACTCACAGATGTGAAGTGGCTTAATTAGAATATGATTTGCCACAGGGTGTGTGCTTAAACCCTTTCAACTGTGAGAGTGTTGTGTGTAGACACCGAAAGTGCAATTTCCAGAGACTCTAGCACCGTGGGGAAGCAATAACACAGCGTCTCCTTTTCCCCAGCAGCTGTGCCCCCACTCATTTCATGGGTAAAGCAAGAGGCCCTCCTCAGACTGCACATTGATTGAAAAAGTAAATGTAACATCTGCCTTGAGTCCAGCTTGTGAGCTTTTGTCATAACGGATTATCTTCCATAAGCAGTTCTGTCTCCCAAGCATTTTGCTAAAGCCAGGATTTAATTAAGCCAACAGATGAGTAGTGAGGGCAGGTCGGATTATGCCAGCTTTATCCTTAAAAACCATTCCTTTTGTACCTTGAGTGATAGTATCATATGTTACACACATCAGAAGCAGTAAGTGTTCAGTTCTGTTACTCCTCTCAAGAGAACCTGTTTCATTGGAACCATAACAAAAGACCTGAGCAGGGAAAGCACGGCTGAGGGATGAAAGTGAAAAGATAAGTTGTGCACGGAGGAAGGAAATTTTCAGGACATAATCTGGACCCATGTTGCTGTCCTACCACAGTAATGTGTGCTCCACCCCCATCAGTGGACTTTGTAGTAGTGAGTGCAAGCACAGAGCGCACATACATACATAAATGGCCCGAGTGCCACCTCAAGTGAAATGGCTAGTGGTCCTTCAAAGGATGGCTTCTCTTAGATCTCAGCCAGGCCACTCTCCTAGAGCTTATTACGATGCTAGCTAATAAAAGTAGGTTAAAGTTTTAAACGTGGATCTTTGAGGATCATGAATAACAAACAATATATACCATGAGAGTTACATAACTTGTGCAATTTAACCCTGGAATTAGATGATCACTGATTGCTTCTTTTGGGTAAATATTTTGACTTTATTATACACTAAATTAATTCTCATTACTATCTATTAAATACTACAAATTTACATAAAGATATCAAATATAGAAATTAAAATTTCTCTAGCACTATGATTTCGCATTTCTTTCTCCCCCCTACAACTCATAATTATATTTGTTAGGCCCAAATTAGAGGTCAATCCATAATTGTGGATTATGCGATGCCTGAGGCATCTTTGACTTTCTGAGTGTTCAGCTACCAGGCTTGTAATGGGCTTCACTCTGGCAATGTGTCTGCCTCAGAGCTGGTGTGCCCTTTCTTTATGTGTGGTTACTGCCAAGGCCTGCTTTTTTGCTTCTAACCATCTCTTTGAAAATCATTTCCTTTTAAGAGCTGCAGTTCCAATACTACTTAAATTATCCTAAGGGGAAGAGATGAAACAGGATTAAAAGTACAATTAGCAATTTAAATGACAGAGTATATCCTTGCAGCAAACCACCCCTTCAAAAAGTATACCTTCAAATAAAATAGGTCAAACAGTACTACTATAATTTCTAGAAATGCTTAACAATTCCTACACAGACTTGATTAAGAACAATTAATTAATAATGTTAAAATCACTTGACTTCATTTTTTCAAGAAAGTAGAGTTAGTGTCAAATCAATTTAGCAAATGGAATTTCAGTGCCATGGGAAAAGTTGAAGTAACGAACTCCAAAAAGACAATGCTTGAATTGGCAATAATGAGATTGTTACTAGGCATGTTTTTAGCTCAAGCAACTGCCATAATATTGTCAACCATTAATTCTCAAATTATGACTGGGAAAATATTTGAAGTCATGTGTACTTCAAATAACACATGTGGATTCAGCTCACTTGCTTTTGTTTTGTCGGTATCATAATGGAGAAAAAAATATCTAACTCCCCTGTCTTTTCATGGATAACTGTCCCTAATGACACCCATCTTGTGGTTTTCAAGGGATGAAAATGCCTTTGATTAAAAGATTTTAAAATCTCTCAACTATTTTTAATGACCACAATAGCAGGGTGATTAGAAAGCAGCACTAAAAAAATAATGATTCTTAAATCCTTATAAGGGTTTTCAGAGAAACAATACAAGATGAAAGGAAAGAATATCTGTATTCTTGATGTTAGAAATATACTAAAGCAGTATTTATCACATTTGCTCCAGAGAATTCAGAGTAGCATGCATTTCAGTGATGAGTAAATGTTTTATCCATCCTTGTTGCTAAAGAGGGGCTTGAACTTTTTTTAATTTTTATTTTATTTTATTGATTTTTTTACAGAGAGGAAGTGAGAGGGATAGAGAGTCAGAAACATCAATGATGAGAGAAACATCGATCAGCTGCCTCCTGTACACGCCCCACCGGGGATTTGCCCACAACCAAGGTACATGCCCTTGACCAGAATCGAACTTGGGGCCCTTCAGTCCACAGGCCGTTGCTCTATCCACTGAGCCAAACCAGCCAGGGCAGGGGTTTGAACTTTTAAGGATCACTTCTCTTTTGGTCAAAAGCATCAGTGTTTCATAGGTGCTATTGATTGCTGGTGCTCAATTACAGAGGTTTTTGAATTATGTAGGAGAAATCCTATATAATAAAAGGGTAATATGCAAATTGACCCTAACAGCAGAATGACTGGGAATGACTGGTCACTATGACACACACTGACCACCAGGGGGCAGACGCTCACTGCAGGAGCTGTCACCTGGTGGTCAGTGCGCTCCCACAGGGGGAGCTCTGCTCAGCCACAAGCCAGGCTGATGGCTGCCAGCACAGCGGTGGTGGCGGGAGCCTCTCCCGCCTCCTCAGCAGTCCTAAGGATGTCCGACTGCAGCTTAGGCCTGCTCCCCGCTGGCAAGTGGATATCCCCCGAGGGCTCCCGGGCTGCCAGAGGGATGTCTAACTGCCAGCTTAGGCCCGATCCCCCGGGGAGCAGGCCTAAGCCAGTAGGTGGACATCCCCTGAGAGGTCCCAGACTGCGAGAGGGCAGAGGCCGGGCTGAGGGACACCTCCCCGAGTGCACACATTTTTGTGCACTGGGCCTCTAGTAAAGTAATAAAATGCATAGGGTTTAGAGAAATGATCAAAGTTGGATAGCAAGTCGGAATGGGACATGCAAGCTGCCCATGAGCTCTCTCTGACACCTCTCTTCATATATGCCTTAATTTGCCCCCATGCCTATGTTCTTATAGCACACATGCATATTTCTATTATATTGTTTTATTATTTAATTTCTTCTTCCTGTTCCCCCTATATTATGAACTTAGTGGGCACAAGAGCCATCTTTTATTATTGAATCCCCATTGCCCTGTATAAGTCCTCTTTCTTAGATACTTAGAAAGTGTCTATCAAATAAATACATTACGTCTTCTGAAATGTGGCTCTGTGAAGAACTGGACCTTGCCTTCTTGTTCACTAATGTATCCTCAGTGCCTAGAGAACTTCCTGGCACATGGTAGGTGCTCAGTAAATATTTCTTAAAGGAATGAATGACTTCATTGAGCAGCAATCTCCTTAGAAAGCAGATTCCTGGCTCAGGAAGCTAAAATAGACTAGTGGCATTAAAGTAAACTATATCCCAACAGTTCTGGTTTAAATATGAATTCGTGTAGGATGATTAGCACCAAAGTATAGGTTGTTAAGCTCACCAAAGGAAAAAAAAATTGACCTAATGCTTTTCTCTTATTTGGTATTATAGAGGGATGACTATGGAGCCTAATAGAATCTCAGATTTTGTAAGAAACCTTGGGTTTCATTTTACAATAAATGAAAGACTCATTAAGTACTCAGTTTATATGTATTTGCTCAACAGAGATCACCTCCAGAGGACAATTTCAACCTTAATGCTTGACATGAAATTTCCTGCATGTGTTCAGGGGTAAACAGTTGGTCTGTCAGAACACTGTTAAAAATATATGTTTGCATAAATAAATGCAAAGCATCAAGGATTCCCTAATTCTCATAGTGGAAACAGGATCTATGCCCAACCTTATGATGTGAGATGCATGGAATAGTGTGCTCCTTTGAAAAATAAATCGCATGCTCCTATTACTGTCATAAATTGGTAAACGGCTTTTACTTTAGATGGATGGGTGCATTTACCATATGAAAACAAATCCTCTAGGTCCTTGATCAATCACTTGTCTAAGAGGAAAACTGCAATCCCTTTTCTCTTTCCCATGAATGCTCCAAAACAAAGGATACATTGTTATGCAACAAATAGGGCTAATAAATTGTGCCCTCATAGAAAATGTTCTGTGGTAAAATGAGAGAGCATTTACAATAAGTAAGAGGAACCCTGAGGACTGGGCAGTTCCATATTAACAGTCAGGTTACTTACCAGCAAAATAGATTCAGCCTCTTTCTTATGATGAGAAATACACAAGAGGAAAGTCAATAATGTACAACCAGATGCTCTGAGTTAATACACACTTTCTTCTTATTTATTTATACTCCAAATTCATATTTAAAAATATGGGGGTATGCCTAAAGAAACCAAGCAATCTCTAATGTAAGAGGAAGGTTATGAAGTTACCTGGGGATTTGGCTAAGCATAAGAGGATGTTAAATATTAAAAAAAAAAACAATAACACTGTAATTTGATTTATTTTCCTGATCAAATGGTGTATGGAAAAATCCAGAAGAACTAAGCAGTTCTTTTCTTTCCCAAACTTGTAAGTATCTTTACCACACAGATAGGACACATGTTTCTTTTTTAAAGCTGAATTCCCCAATTTTGTGTTTTTAAAAATTAAGAGCAAATTCTCCTGAGATAAGCTTGCCATGTCTATTTGAGTGTTGTTGTTGATTGTTTGGTTTTCTGGTCCCCTGAAGCAAGGTTTTGAAAAGCAGAAAAATATTGATTCAATAGGCACCCAGTTTAAATTCAAAGATAT